ATGTTAGAGTTACTGAGAGGCACAGCAGAGAAAGACTTCTCAAGATATGACTGCTTTGTGTGTGTGATCCTTAGCCGTGGAAAAAACGATGGGATCTATGGTACAGACGAAGCGGAACTGATTACAATTGAGGAAATCACGTCTCTCTTCCGACGCAACGAGTGCCCCTCACTGGAAGGAAAACCAAAAATATTTCTCATCCAAGCTTGTCGCGGCACTCAACAAGATAGGGTACCTGTCGAGAGTGACAACGACCCCATTCCACTTTCAAGTTCATCTTTACCAGCAGATGCTGACTTTCTCATCTGTTTTGCTTTGGCTCCAGGCTATCAGAGCTACCGTCAGGCTCACCTTGGTTCATGGTTCATCTCGTCTGTTGTTGACGTGTTCAAGGAATATGCAGAAAGAGAGCATCTAATGGATATGATGTTGAGAGTTAACAACCGTGTTGCTGGATTTTACAGCAAGGAGGGTCTGAAGCAAATGCCATGCCAGGTCTGCACGCTGCGAAAGAAAGTGTTTTTTGATCCAAAGTATAGCAGGAAAAAAAAGAGTGAAAAAATATCCGTCACATGAAAGTTTAATGTCACCTTTTTTTAATCCTGTCTGGCTGAGCCCCAGCTAACTGAACCGTGGTTGCATCAGACAAAGTATTTATTTCAATTTGTCAGAGCTCCAGAGTAACAACTTTCCGCTTTAATAGCAGAATTCAGTAACAGATGTTTCTTATTACTTTACGTTCGCCATATTGCTGCCCTTCAAAGCGACACCAACATTTGGTAGCCTGCATAGCATGGGGGTAACCTTCCCCGCAATAGGCCTGCAACGCGGACTATACATTTGGGTGAAACATTTATCCGACTAGATACCTAGATAGTGGAATGGTTCACCGTGATATTCAACCTTGTTTGGAATTCCGGAATATGGGTTGGTTGGGTTCAGAAATTAGACTGCTAAGACTTGTGTGCTGTTTTAGATTAAGAACTAATTATTTATCGATAATTGATCGATCGTACTTTTGTAATTAGTATTTCAAACAAGCTACAACTTTGTTATTATTATCAGTGAAATATCAATGGACAGTAGTTAAAGTTAAAATATTTTTAGAATAAACTGAGTTGGTTACTTGTCATAAACTATCTTTCAGTAGACACGAGCGTCTTCATGGGCACTTTCCAGTCGACAAAAAATTTTGGTTTGAATTTCTGGAAATTTCTGGTGGGGAATGGAACACCATGGGCTCTTTCCAATTGATGAAAACTCTGGTTTGCATTTCCACAAATTTCCAGTGACAAATGGAACATTTTCTGGAATTTCCGCTTAAGAGGACAACCTCGCGAGGTATGCGAAAAATTTTCGCAAAGTTCTCACCGGGAATTTCCGTTCCGTTTGATTTTCTTCTCAGAATTTCCAGATTTTTCGGTTGAATGGTTCGCATTTCGAAAAATAAGCAATTTTTGGGATTTTCCGGAAATTTTTCAAGAACATTTCTGTACAATTTGTCTTCATGTCAAAAGTTCCGTATTTTTTAGTTGAATGAATGGAAAGCGCCCCATGTATCGCATTGAAACCCCAACTATACCGTATTAAATTCTATTCACAGCCACCAGTCAGATTTATTTTAGTAACTCAACAGTAACCTTCTTAGTCTCAAGGTCAAATTATTAATTCTCCCTACTGAATCTCGTACGTTTTCTTTGATGTCAGTTCTGGGAATTTAGTGCAACATAAAGAACACAACCCCTTTTTAGCAAGTTTCCTCCGGGGAGGGAATGGAAATTTACTGGTGGACTCCACTCCTCTAGTTTACTCCCAATCCATTTATTACTCTTTTTGGTTGAGTTCAAGTTTTACATTTCTGGTGAATTTCTGAAGGTAGCTCACCAAAATGGCAAGCACTGTCAAAACTAAGTTTCCATCTGCATAAGAAACCAGTTTTATTTCACTATTATACATGTAGAAACCGTCAGGTCAGTGAACAACAGCAAGTAATGTTTATGCACAGAGGAGGAGTTTTGAAGAAGGTAATAACTACTTGTATGTCGTTCTAGCAGTCAACTTAGAGAATAAAGTGGTTTTTCATTTCACAAGCATGTCACATTTAATGTTGCCAGTCAAGCCATGGATAATATAGACCACTCCACAACCGTTTATAAAATTTGCAACAAAAAAGAGACTCTGCATTGTAAGGCGCCCTGTACTCCTTCTTCAGACCAACCAAAGTTGCAGTTCTTTAACATGCCTGCTGTCCAACAAACTCCACCAATGTCTTTAGAATAAGACCAATGTATTTTGGATGCATCATGTACAATTTCTCTCTAGTTATTTAAAAAATGTTCTTCGTCTATATAAGGCTATGTGACATCACTGTGACATCATTGAGGCTCCTGACCTTGACCTTTGTACACATCACTAACACAAACCCACTGTCCTTCCAGTGACTCCTTCCATAAGCTCACCTACAGAAAGAAAACAATGTGCGTTCAGCTTTGAATCACAATCTGCTGTGTGAGCAGCAACAAAAAGGAATGTAACAAAATGAAGTTGCACATATTCACCATTAATTTTGTTATAATCCTTCAAATATTTTTGCTCATGCGCGACTGGTCTAAACGCATCATGTGACTGAATATGCCCCGGCTAAAACTGGAGAATATCTGAGTGATATCACCCAATTTTCAAAACTGCATGTGTTGCAAAAAAAATATTTGAAGTTCTTCAAAGCTCACTGTTCATGCTCTCAGAAAACTGTTTGAAAACTGTTTGCTTCTTGGAACAGACAATGTCCACTGACAAATATGCAAGCATAATTTCATGCCAAATGGAGGCTATTGTTTACATCTACATATCCACCAAGATTTGCCTGGCTTTGATATTTTCAAACAGATGCAGTTACCCTAATCATGAAACCATAAATTTCAGAAAGACTCAGAGAGATGGGCATCAACAATAAGGTCTCCCCTGCCTTGCATCCCTTTTAAATTTGGATTGTCACACAATGCTTCTCTCCACTGGTGTTGTGTGACAATACATGAGCATTCTCCTTTACATCAATTATTTGCAATGTCACCACAACATTCCTGTGGAGTGTTGTTGTAATATTTTATTTCGATTGAGTACAAATAAAGATTGATTGATTGACTGATAGAGTATTCCTCTGGAATAATGCACTTCACTATTCTCATTTGTGTAACAAAATGGTTTAAGGCAATAATTATCAACATACTGCATCTGCAAATGTCCGCTAATGATAATGTACCATTGAAAACCAGCCTTAAAGCTGCATTATGAACTTCTGAACTGCTGTTTACCTTGTTGTCTCCACCAGATACAGCTAGAATGTTTCCAGTGACTGACCAACTCACATGCCACACAACATCACCAAACTTTTTTAAAACCTGCAAATGTATTGCAACAACCCATGGTTACCTCAATGAAAAGGGATTCAACAAGAATAATAATTATTGTAACCTCTAGAGATCATCCAAGTACTTCTCAGAAACGTTTCTTTACCTTTGAAGTCCATGATCCTCCTCCAACTTCATTTTTTGTCCAGATTACTACGCGACAATCCTGCCCAACAAATATATGAATATATTACTTGGAAATGTCATTAAGTATAGCAACAGACTAACGAGAATCTTAGGATGATGTTCAATAATTAAAGTAATAAATTCCCTATTAATACCAGTGCCAACCAGACAAGTGACCTTGTAGGTGGAACATCGGAATTATAAAGATACAAAATCATCAAGTTTTTCATTTTGTTGCTAAATAATTTCAGAGAGCAGTTGTAACCCAAATGTTGAGAGTAACTGGTAATTGCTTTGGTTTTGCATTACTATGCTCTGTGATTGATTTTAAAGAGTCATACTACCTAATGAACCAATCAGATGCAAAATCAAAACCAATCTGTGCATTGTTCACACACATTTTCCCAAGTTTGGTGCTTATTAGGTTCACATGCTGCAAGTTGTCATGGATTCATCGTGCTGCTTACATTTGTCGTGATTGGCCACTGTCATTGCTTTGGTTTGGTTTTACGACAACAGTCATTGACAAACACTCTTCATATTTATTTCCAACTCCTGACTGCTTTACCTGAGAGCAGGTTGCTATGGTGCTGACAGGAAGTCCGACATTAGGAGCCCAGGCAACATCCCTAACCCAGTCACTGTGTGCTTCTAGTTTTTCTTCCTCCACCCACTGGCCATCAACCTCTCTTTAACATTCCAAAAACAAAATGCATTACGACACAGTAAACAGTCAAGGAAAATCAAATGTCACAGATCAAAATAACAATGCTTATGTAACTTACTTCCATACTTTTACCAAGTTATCACATCCACCGGTGACGAATCTTTTGACTAACCCACTTGACTTTGATCCAGGCTAAAGACGGCAAACAATGGCTGTTATTAATTAATAATATCAGTTGAGCCTACACTAGTATTTTCTTTGTTAAGAATGCACACAACGAAGGCAAAAAGGTTGAAAACTTGTGTAACACTCTCTAGAGTGGCATATGTCAACCATTGAGAACTGCAATAACAGCTATTACTTACAGTATGTCAGAAAATGTTTCAGTCAGAGACACGTTTTCACTGTCAATCAAAATTGTACATTAGCAGCAATGTCTTGAATACCAAGTTGTGGTATTCAATGTAAGTGTTCAAAACCAGTTAAAAAGAAAAAGCTGTACATAGCTTGAGTTCGGGGAGACTTTACAGCTACATGGAACTGTTATGTTTGTTAGCTGTAGGTTTGATTAAGAAGAGCAATTCTGTGTAGCAGGAGTGTCTTTTTTAAACATGTCACATGCAGGCAAAAGGCTTGCCGCGCAAATCAGGCCTAACACATCTGTGATCAGGAGTACAAGTTACAAGTATAATGGCTAGAGGGAATAATTAATATTGCAGGTTGACAAAATATTGCTGCACACTTTTGGTGTACATATATGAACAACCTTACTGTGACATAGAAACTAAATAAGAGTATGTGGACAGCAATTCTCTACTCTAATTCAGGGCTAGAAAAAAACTTGAATTCCAGCTTCCCTTCAGACAAGCAGCTCTCAAATTTTGCTTGCCCTGGGCAAGTGTTAGTTTACCTTTCTTTTATTTAGTTGAAAGATGACTTGTCTTGGCCTTTGCCCATTGTGCAAGTGAGAATAAAAAGTTACTTGCCCAGCAGGAAAATCTGCTTGCCCCAGACAATTGCAAAGGAACAGCCATTTTTTTTTCAAGCATTGACTCTATACTACCGGTACATTATACATAATACTCTATACTTCAAGTAATTAATGGGTAATAAATTAATAAATATAGATTTTTATTCACGAGTTGCAAAACTTTGGAAAACGAACAAGTGAGCGCAGTGAACAAGTGAGTTTTCCAAAGTTTTTCAACGAGTGAATAAAAATCTGTACAAAGCACTTTCTATGTTGTAATTTGTTTATTGTATATATGACAAGAAGTAAACATATCTGTCAAATCAGTTTTAGTTTTCCCGATACCACAAGTTTACATGCAGAACAACAACAAATTCCAAACTGATCTAAATGACCGAGCGTAATAAAAAACACATCTGCTTTCCAGTCTGGCAAAAGGCGGACAAAGAGCCTACACAAGCTTAAATATAATACGGGAGAATTCGTAAATACATATAGAGTGAAATCTTATCACTCTCAGATTTAATCATGTAATGGCGACACTTCATGCTGTGCAAAGACAAATTCGGACTCTGACTCACACTGTCTAAATTTGAATGTTCCTCCTTGAATGTTGTTGACTTTCTGATGTTAAATTTACTTCCTCGGTTTCTTAAATGGCCATTGATTCTCAAACTGAAGTTCTAGCGCTCAAGATGTTGGATATATTCCACTGCTGTTTTTCCGAAAGTGAACTAAAACGGGAAGCCGAAGCCATGTTCTCGAAACATAACCTTCAAGCGGGCACTGATTTCAAGACCGTGCTTCTCAGAAGCCATTTGAGTGCTTCACTCTGATTGGCTGAGTGATTCTAATCTGAATGGTGACTGGTCATATTTTCACATGGGAAGAACGCTATACGCGAAGCTGATTGGACATATCGCTTTTTTCGCATGTGGAAATATAGCACATATAGAATTCTATTTGCAAGGTTTATTGCCTAAAATTCTCGCTATATGTACAATAATTTAATAAATGGAACATGAATAAAAGGTTTGCTCCACATTGTCCATTACTCCCAGTGAAGAATTGGGCTGTAGGGCTATAGTAACTGGAATTAAGGAATTCTCTTGTCATTTTCATTACCTCTAGCAATGATCCTGGTGAGACTGAAGGTGCCCAGCTAACAGCATTACAACCAATCTTAACAAGAAAAATAAAAGAACAATCATAATCAGAAACGAGTTATCAGATCTGAAGGGACATTTACCTGACAGAAAAATGGTACACAAGAAGTAGAAATCATATATTTAATATTTAATATTTTTTGATAGCTAGAATGGCTCTGACCGTGATTTTAACAGGCCAGTCTCAACGATGTACAGAACCTGTTTCTGACACATTTAGATACCAAAGAGGTCTACCACTGCTTGCAACCATCTCTGTTCTAGAACCAGTCACAGACTAATCTAGATTTATCCAAAATGTACCTGAACCTTACTATCTTAACTCAGTTACCTTAAGCTCCTACTCACATTTCTCTACAGTACAAAATAATTTTAATGTAATAATACAAGTTTGTTATGACAACTGTTACTAATGTAAATGCACCCCACATGTAAAGAAACTTTAATTTGGAACAGGCTTATTAACAATAATGTACTTGATCATTACAACACACAAGATCATAAATTTAGACCTTGCATGTGAACAGAACCAAGACTAACTCTTACTCATCTGCTACATCCTGACAGCTAATAACAGTGAGCAGATCAAGACAAACTGAGCAATGAGTGTTAAAAAGAGATGGACATGGATTTCTCACCGGCTGAGCTTGCAAAAGAGGTGAGTAATTAGGTTCTCACACACTGAAGCAGCTGCTGGGCCTGAGTTAGGAATATATTACGTGTCATGCTAGGTCTCATGACTCAGTTTTTTGTTTCTTGCCATACGAGCAACAGCTTTTCCCACCCACCCTTCCTTTGCCAGTCTGCGCTCATCTGATACATTCTAAGTATTGTTGATGTTCTGTTTTTTGCCTAGTGGCTTAGGCTTTGATGTTGCATATGTCGCATCCATTAGTCCTTGTAAATCCTGTTTTCGGGTTTGTTGTTTGTTAATAAAGTGCTGTTACCTTGTGTGGCAGACAAATGTCATTCAGTGTGTAAGAATGTTTGTTCTACTCTTCACGGCAGAATCAGTGACATTTTAAGCATTATCAAACTTACCGTATGTGCGTTATTTATTTTCTTTGTTTCCCACGTTCCATCACCTGAAAATGAAAACAACATGGCCTTTAAGAATTTGGAATCTGGAACAAAAGATTCCACTCTTGAAGAAAATGACAAAACACAAACCTGAACTACTTAAAATTGAGATAGAGCCATCTGATGAACCACAAGCTAACATCAAACCGTAGTCTGGAGAAGCCCAAGATATAGCGTTCACTGAAACAAGATCAAATTAGATCAGTAAAGGAAAAAATGCTTCAATTGCTTTTTATCACCGTTTGACATTTTGAGTGGGTATCCTGTAAAGAAGCTTTTTAGCTAAGCGGAGTGGTCATGTTAAATAAAGAATAGACCTTTCCCGCACTCCACTTCAGTGCGTACAAACAACAGCACAAGAGCGAGGCTGGGGTGGACATTTTCATACATTTACTGTATTTTTGTCCACCCTGACCTCGACTTGGCGCTATTGTTTGTTGGAATGGAGGAAAGGTCTGTTACTTACTTACTTTACTTACTATAATGTGCTAATTCTATAAAACTATGATCAACAGCTGTTACTTACGATAATATTAAACAACATTACTGCTGAACTTGACAGAACCTCCTGTAGTTTTAGAAGTGTTGTCTACATTGTAAGTCTGACTGTCTGAGAGTGTGTCTGTCTGTCTGCAGGACTGACTGTCTGTATGACTGACTGACTGACTGACTGACTGACTGACTACCTGATTGACCGATTGACTAACTGACTGAATCTATTTTGTTTACCTGAAGAATCGTGATTACAAAATTCTTGAAGTTTTGCCCATCCATTGCTAGTTTCTTTCCAAATAATAACCTGAATGAGATAACATGGTTTATGACAATCACAGTACATGTTTACATACAAAGTGTATGTGGTGCATCGGTGAAGTGCATGACATTTACCATACATGTAATTTTGTGTGATGCTTCAAGTTTAACATTCTAAGTTTGCCACCAATTTTCTGTTGTTCCTCTTGCAAATGACAAGGGTATTAATTTTGATATTATTATCAATGAAAAAACTGCCTTAAAATTTACTTTCAACACACAAAGTAATAAATTTTAGGAACTAAATCCTTACTATTTATTAATAACTGGGCATGTGGCAAAGCCAACTAAAATAGTTCAAAGAATTCAACATGATGCTGGCAATTACGTTTGTGTACAGAAATCCCTGATATTTGCAGGACTCAAAAAATTACAATGCTAGATTTGTCTGATGGCTTCTTAAATACACTCACCTTCCTATCATAAGAACATGAAGCCAAGAGATTTCCAAACATAGGATGTGCCCAACTAACTTGCCAGACAGGGCCTTCATGTCTGAAAATATTGTTAAAATATTACTGCAGTGAATCTTGATTTCTCAAACCCTCAGTTTTTTAAACCTCCCGATAACTCGAACTAAACGTTGTTTCTTCACCTTAGTCAAATGCTGTAATTTTACCCCCGATTTCTCAAACTATCTGATTTTTTGAACCAATTTTCGTTTTCCTTGGAGGTTCAAAAAATTTGGATTCCATCTTATACATAGTGTGGTTTTATACTATACTTAATTATGATTGTGATGGCCCAGTGGCCTCATAGGTAGAGCAGTCTAGGTTTGAGTTTTACACTGAATAATGCTCCATTCAGAGCTAAGACTAAAATTATTTTACTCAGAACCGAAAACAAGTCAGACCCACATTTTCTCTGTAACAATGTGCAATAAAACAATTATCGGATTTGGTTTTTCTTGAGAGCCAAAACAATCAACCGACAGTCTTGGTGAATGTACATTGTAAGTGTACCCTGCAAGCAGAGTCTCTACCAATCTTGCTCTTCCCAATTTTTTCAGGAAGATCAAATGAGTCTCTGCTCGCAGAGCAACATAAGTGCTATCAGCCTACAGCCTTTGGCTTTGACTAAATAGCCTCACCACTGATTACTCTGGATGTCACAAAAACTCTCTTCCAAAAATTATTATCATTCAATTTCAAGTAAATCTTTATGATACCTACCCTCTCAGAGTAGTGACTAAAGTTTGAGTTGCTCCATTTATTTCAAAGATTTTCACTGTCCTGTCAGATGAACATGTTGCAAGCTTCTTGCCATAGTAATCCATTTGTGCATCATGCTATAGACAACAAGAGACAAAAAAAAGAGTTTGAGAAGTGATCAGAGGATTAATTTTGCAGTTAAAACTTTGAAAATTCAGGAAAATTCAACTTAACATCATCTATGATGTATTTCTTTACATTTTCATCTTGTAATAATTTTTAATTTCCTTGGCTTTTTATGAGTGGAGCAATCTGACTATATTGTGGTACAATAATCTGACTTGGAACTATCTGACCATGGAATGATTAATCCATGTAATGTTAAGCTTCAGTATTCTGAGTAAAATCCTGCACATGAACAAGTTTCACTGCCAATTATATCACAGTTAACCATTTTGTCGAAATATTCAATTCTTTTGATCCTTTGTAAACGTCACAATTTATTAGCTGCGTTCTAAGTTCGAAAAATAATAAGCTTGCTAAAGCCAAAAGAGTACTATAATTTAAAGAGCTAAGAACCAAATTTTAAACTGGATCAAAGGTCTACGTAAAAAGGCAAATAGGCCAGTTATCCAGCTGTACATGTGTTCTGGTATATTACCCCCTAGTCTGAAGTTCAACAGGCGAAATCAACCAAGAATTTCAAACTAAGTAAGCTTAGATTTTCTCAGAAAGTGGCAATTTCTTGTTAGTTACTTACGATCATATCCTCATGCGAGGTATCCACTGTATTCAACACCGAAACCTTCATGGTAGAAAAGAAGAATCCCACATTCAAACAACAGGTTACCAGCTACAAAGCTGCCCGGAAGGAGAAATTATAATGCAAGAAAGTGCCAAAACAATTCAGATCTTACCATTTTTGACCACTCTGAAAACTCAACGTGGCAGAGGCACCTCGCTTTCGTGTCAGACGCTTTGGTAACCGTTCCTTCTGTCCGTGCTGTGCTTGGTAACCATGCAAACGAACGGACGCGGAAAATTTGAAAATTCGTTGCAAAATGGCGGAGGGTTTGTCAACACCGTCCGAAGCAAAGTTTACTGGAAAAGGCAAGTCTACTCGCTCCGGTTCAAGGGCCGGAAACAGCAGTAAGTCTGCTCGCACGCCTTGGCTTTCAAGAAGGCACACACCGTACATGAAAACACCAAAAACAGGCCGCACTTCGCGAAGCCAGCCAGAAAGTACACAAGTCAGAGAAAACATTCGATCACGTGAAGCTACGAGGGAAATCGATAGAAGTGTATCAACTCCAAAGGTTTCCGAAAGATCACCAAGTCTCATTTCAATAACGGAAGAAAGTTACGAACAAGCTAAAGGTCCCGTTCAAGAGATTGTGGGTAAAACGCTTCGAGTTTACCAGACTTCACCCCTTTACAACTTTGCTCGCCAGGACAAGGCTGCTTTGAAAAGTTACGGAGAACAACTGTCCGCGAATTTACAATTAGACACAGAGAAACAACTGTTCATTGAAGAAAGCGGTGACTTGAAAGATAGAAGATTCAAGGCAAATTTCTCTGTTTTTAAAGATCATTCAGCTGAAGGGACAAAATTTTCAGCTGTTAAAATTGTCGTTTACAGTTTTGACACCTCGAAACCTACCCAAACAAAATCGATTTCTCCGAGTTTGACAACAGTGCTTTGCTCTGTTGGAAACGAAGAAGAACAGAGCAGCAGACTTCAAGATAGCTTTACTTGTCTACCGATCTGTCTAATCAACGGGCCCGTGAATCTTGCGAGAAGTTTGATCAGCTGGTTCGAAAGCAAGTTTGACTGTAGGATTACGCCTATGACTTTTTCATCCCTCGATCTTGGTTGGTATTTTTCACTTTGGGCTGGAATGGCTTCCACTGGAAAATCTGCACCGATTGAGCTTTGCTATGACGCGTCTTCAGTAAGCGGTCTTAGCAGAATTCTTTTCAGCATTGACAAGAAGGACGCCAGAGACCTTTGGGAGAGTGTTCACAGTAACAACTCGCTAATTTTTACAGAAGAGGAATCAACGACATTTCTCAAGGCTTTAGAATCTCACTTTTATCATCATTTTAGAATCAATTTGGAAGGATTACCTCTAACAAGGGTGAGGACAGCTATTGCTTATATTGCTTCTGAAGGAAAGCTCAAGATTGTTCATCCTAGCTACACAGACCACATTTTAGAACAACTTACAAAAGCTGCCTTGACAAAGGAGCTTTATGGAAGACTGTGAAGATAACAAGGAACATGAAGACACTACAAAGTTGCTTTAATTTTACCTTTTAAGATTCTGAAGTAGACTCTTACACGTATGTACACAGCTTCCTTACGACTTGTCACGCAATCTTTCCTACCTAACGCTCGTTGTGTGACAAGACAACAGAATGCCCTGATAACAGGGAGCCCCCATGATCCATGGACTACAGTTCTAGGACCGTCAATCAAATGTAAACAGGGACTTCTAGCTATGTACACCAACAGAATTTTTACATGTTTTATGGTAATAATATTTTTATTTCATAGTCAACTTACATTGTATCTCCATACTAGCATGTATGAATTTGTAAAATTTTATTTCTTACTACATATAAAACATGAGTTGGCATATGTTTTATGCAAGGACTTTTTACAAGTAAGTTTTCTTATTTAATCAGCTATTGTACATAACACTATTGCTATCAAAGTATCAAGCTCGATTGAAGAGAATATTTGTTAATAAAACTGCATTGTATCAACATAGTAAGAGTGAAAGCACCTAAGAATGATGCAGTAATGATACATTTTCTTGCTCTCCCAAAATTCCAGTTGTGTTTCTAAGACTTGATAGAAACACAGGGAAAATGTTTCTATTTTTTTTTTTTAATTACAGATTAAAAGGCCTGTCATTAAGTTTTGAGTCACCTGTTGCATTGATCTTCACACCCATAACAAAATTGTTACTTTGTGGGTGAATTCTGTCAACAACAGGTAATGTTACCTGTAGCATCGAGGGAAAATCAAGCACACTGCCATAACAGGTGTTACAGGTTTTGGCCCTTAACGACAGTCCTGGTTTATGATGATAAGTGTTTAGTACATTTAAAAGTGATTTCCATTTCACACAGTGCACTTGTGAGTGTTTGTTTTGTTTTATGTAAGATGTCACAAAATGCAACATTTCACAAACTCCTTACATGATGTAAATTCAACCTTTATGCTTCATTATTTATGATACTACTAAATGAAACAACTTTGTAGCTGTAGAAATCAAAGAAATTGTTGGACAAAAGAATTTAAAATGTTACTAATACTACAAAGACATGGTAAGAGATTGGTAAGAAAAACATTGATTTACATTCTATGGAACAAGGCCCACAAACATTTGTGTACTGACTAGTTACTCTTAGTCTAGTGCACTACAGACTGGAAAACATTTAACTTTTTTCTTTGTTTATCTTTATTGTAAAACATTTGCAGAAATTACAAAGTCATTTTTTTGCTAACTAATCAGATCACACAGTTCCTCTGGTGTGATATTTCCTCCAGTAACCATGACAACAACATTGCTTCCCGGCATCACATCAGGAATTTTGTTTGCCTGTAGAGCAGCAAATGCTGCAGCACCAGAAGGTTCAACAACAAGACCAGCATGGAAAAATGTCTTCACTGCACTGCGTCAAAAACAAAGGTTAACACAACTAGTTAATCAAAACATTCTTCACCATGAAAAAATTTCTTACAAGTATGGAAATTTGAATTGAGTGACTATTAGCAGGTCCTGAAAAGGTTTCAACTCAAGTAAGCTCTCCAGTCGGTGAACACAGACAGATCTGAGACAACAGCCATAAAGCCTTCTGTATTTACAGGCTACACTGTAAGTAAACTCAACTTGCTATAATATATCAAACATGAAAGACCATGTTTGACCACATTGCCAGACAACAAGAAGACAGTTGAAAATACGACACAGAGCGGAGTATTTTTGACGAACTTCCAGGTGTGTTGAATTTGTTCAAACACTGTCTTGCGTGTTTGATATAGCTTGTCAATCAAAACTAAAACCAAGGAGAAAATGGAGAAATAAAATTGTACAAATCTATGCTAACTAAGATCAGATATCCAAACCCTGTCACTGTCATAATTTCCTTTGTTTAAACTTGAAGAATAATTTTAAGAGTTTGAGAAGAGCAAGTGAATATATGAAATCATATTAAATATTTAAACTGATGGAGAAAGGTATTTTGTATGAAGCTTGACCAGTTCCCAGTTGGAAAAGCACAGCTTTGGTATCACTAAGGCTATCAGCTCCTGGAATTCATTTTCTTGAAATCCTGGGTTTTTTGAGGGCGGATTGTAATGAATCGGTGTTTCAGAATAAAATCTAACCTCTTTATTTCTTCATCTGTCACTAAAATAATATCTTCAACAAACTCCTGCACATGACGAAAAGTGTATGTTCCTAAGGATAGAACAATGAAACATTATTAGACAACAACTCTCTCTAGCTTTGATTTAAATTTTAAAACTAACAAAAGCTCTGTAAATAAAAAGCAAAATACCCCCAAAAAACTTAGGAAATTTTAATTATCCTGATTAAATATCGACAATAGTTATATCTCACCTGCGTAAGGTGGGGCCAATCCTGCAGCAATGGTATTTGTTGACTTAACGCTGACGGCATGACCATGCTGTTTGCTCAAGTACATTGTAGGAGCTACAAGGTTCAACAAATATAATCTTTTCACTTCACTTCTTATATCTACAGTTGTTAATAATGTTGAAAATAAAATTATTATTATAAGGTTCACTTGATCCATGGCCAGAGGTCGAGCACACTAACCACAAGGCCACCACATCCCATTAATAATAATAATAATACTAATACTAAAATTGACTATCGCTATCTGCGAATAAAAAAAGATGAGGATGAGATACCTACCACCCTCTGGCTCCACACCAAATATTCTTGTTGTTTTATCTCCTAGAAGTTTGATGGCTGCTGCCACTCCAGAGAGCAATCCACCACCTCCACAACACAGGATCACCACATCAGGTTCAGGAACTTCTTCTAATATCTCAAGACCAGCACTGCAAAATTTTACACACAAAAATAAGCTAGCCATTTAAGTGATCAGAACTACAAGCAGTTATTCTGCTTGTCAATTACCAGTTTTGGCAGACGAATTTACAACAGAAAGTTATAAATAAATTGGGATGAATAAAATTTTGTAATTGAGCAACAGAATATGTTTTCCATGTTTTTAAACATGGAAAACATATTTAAATTCAAACATGAGGGGGGTTGGGAGAATTTAAGACAGTTATGAAAACCCGAGAGGCTGTCGAGAGTTTGTATAACTTTCAAGAATTCTCCCAACACCCTGAGTGTTTAGATGAGGCTATGTAACCACGGGGAAGTCCTGTATTGTGTAAATTATAAAATATTTCTCAAAAATATACACAAATCTAAAATGACACAATCATATTTACATACTCTCATCTAATTAACACACCTATGGACCAATGAGAGTGCACATACTATCTCAGTTATTTTATCATTAATAATTTCCTCACGTAAACTTTAATCCACTTTTATTACTTTTCCTAGTAAATGAAAAGTCCAAAAGGATATACCATACATCCTCGAATAAGCGCCCCCCCTTGAATAAGCACCCCCTTCGAATAAGCTCATAACAGCCAAAAGTTAAAATAAGCACCCCCTCCCCTCCCCCCACTTTGTGGACGAGTAATTAGACAACAAAGGATGTATAGTTTTCATTGTGTTTAATCACTCTAGTCCAGCATTTTTTATACAGTCATTAGTAATTTAAATCTCTGTTATGCAGCTGGAAACATGTTTCTTTTCTTCAAAGTTGCATCCTACAATTTCTTGTTTCAGTTTGTGAACACGTTAAGTTTAGAAAAAAATTACAAGTCCATGTCTAACGATGTCGTGATTTAAACTTTAGGATCAGCTTTTTATGGCGATAACTGCTTATGTTGTTGTTTACCTGCAGATGACTTATCAAAAAAATTATCATGTCAGGCCACGATTTGGAAAAAATTAAAGAGGCCCCTCGAATAAGCGCCCCCATCTTCTCTTAAATTCAAAATAAGCACCCCAGGCGTTAATTCAAGGATTTACGGTATGCTCTAGAATACCTTGCATAACCAGCAATGAGATGAAGGTCATCAAATGGATGAAGAAAATGCATGCCATCTTCAGCAACATGGCGATCAACAGTGTCTTGTAAAGCACTTGTCGGCATTCTTTCCACTTGCACACCAAAACTCTGTAAGTCAGCTTAGAATTATTGCAAATATTAACACCTGCAAGAATTTACTAACTTAAAGGTGCTGAAAATAAATCAAAATTAATATTGAAAACTTTCCAACACACCTCACTGTCACTCCTCCCCCCACCCCCCTTCTAATTAATATATAAATCCCACCCCCTTGGAAAGCAAATTTTAGGTAACCCAAATTATGTATGAAAGGTGATGTTTGCAGCCCTCTTTTCTTTGGTCAAGCAGAGTAATTTAGCTGACTCTAAATTACAAGCTTTTAACTTCCTGCTTGGTTGAGATCTTTGACATACATAGGCCAAAAATTACCCTCAAAGTGCTTCTTGAACACTCTACCCGAGTATATGAACATTAGTAAATAAAGCCTCCATTTTTTCCATATCCCTAGGAATATAGAACAGACTTTATCTCCCTTCCCAAGGTTTTCTCATTTCCTGAGAGCAGTATATCCCCCAAAACAGGTTCCCTATAATGGGATATAGAGATAAAAAATTGGCAAACATAACAAACATAACACAGTCTGCTCAAGTAGGTTGAATATAGGGCAAAACTGGAAAGCTAGACCCAAGCTGAACAGGGACTTCCCAACCCAAACTGCCTTCAGCTCATTCTGCTTGCCAATTTTTTGCGTCATACCCCACCCCATGACGTATTGTAAGTGATGTTTGTAAACTAGTAATGAAGTGTATTGTAAGCAGATTTATGTACTGTGTTGTGAGTAACAAGCACAGTATTGCAAGTAATGTACATGTACTGTAAGTAAATATAATGTAAGATGACCTTTAATGTCCTTGACGTGATTATTGTATATTCTGCAGCTAGATGACGTCACAGACAATGATTTCAAAAATTCACATTACGCTTTCGGCCAATCAGAAAAGAGATAGTGAGTTTCGATGTATAACAATTTTTCTTACGTACCTCAATCAGTTTTGCTCTACTGAGAGGTGCACTCTCAGGCATGCACAAGGTGGCTGGAAGGTTTTGCTTCTTTGTAGCCAATGCGAATGCCTTTCCATAATTTCCAGCGGACATAGACACAAGGTTTTTGTTACCGTTGATAATCTCAGAAGGAATATTGGCAAACTGATTGACAATACCACGCACTTTAAATGATCCTGTCACACAATAATTTGTAACAAATAAATATGAAAACTGAAGATAATATTTTGCCTTCTCAATTTTGCTGACTTACTAAATCAAAGATACACAACCTTTCTTTTCGTTAGAAAAGGTATCAGCTCTTCAATTTCTAAACTTTGTCATCCATCAAAATGTCATTTAAACCATCCAGTTTGTGGATCAACGTGCCAGTGTAAAATTCCACCTTCAACAGCAGAGATTTAATGGAACTCAGTTGAAGACAAAAGTGAAGTCTCATTCTTGCACTTCCTTTTGTGTGCACTGTTTTAGTATATACCTTTACTGAGGTCTTTACTGCTCACAGCAAGCTGACAACATTAAAATTTTCCCAGTACAGTCAGTATATATACACTTTTAAGCATGTACATAGAGGTTTTTAGAGAATTTGATAATGATTAAGTCATGCAAAAGAAAACGAGTAAAGAACTAAACCAGTCATCAAATTTCCTTGCCTGTGTTTTGCATGTTCTCCAATTTTAAATGCAGTTTGCATCGGTTTTGAAAACCAAAGATGTTTTCAGCATTTTGAACCATAGGTGTCCTGAAAACCATGGGACTTTCTTTGATTGCTTCAATCGCTTTTTTTACATCCTTCTGCGATACCAGCTCTCCCATTATTATTATCCTCAGTTTAAAACCTGGGTCGAGTCTAGACTGCGAGCAGTCTCCCTTTTCCTCGAAAATCCGTGGGGAAGAACGCAAAACAAGTAAGCGCAAGTGTGACGTGCTACTAGCGGCTCGCACGTCACGCTCACGGTCACGCTCGAGTCAAAGGGGGAAGGAAGATTGCGTGACGACCAGCAGTCCCGAGGGGTACTCCAAGAAAATTGAATGGGGCTTGCAGGTCCGAGATAAGTCCCAGGCTTTGTACAACAGCATGATGAAAAACAAACATGCAACAAATATTGACGACTTGAAAATGTCATACAAATGGCGGCAAGGTGTTCAATTTGAAATCCCCGGGAAAGCCCCGAGAAAACCCCTGGGAAAGCTAGCCTGCATACTTGAGGCCAGAGCGAGGCCAGCCGGATGCATAGCCAATGCTGCGATTACATATGTGCCCATGTAAGCACATTCCAATTGCATCTTTGTCTGATTGAGCCTGCTCTTAACTTTAATTTCTTTATAATATGGCAAATGCAGACTTAAAAGATGATGGCACGAACTTACCTCGTGTTCACAACGCCCTCTACTTTCCTGATTTAACAGTTTTCGGCCCGGAAATAAGTACTGAGCTGTATCCAATGTGTGGAAGCCTTGGATGGAAAATTTCAACTCAGGCCGTAAGTTTTTTGAACACGCATTCCATATACGATTTTGAGCCAATGGTTTGGTCAAGAACAAATATTATGTTTCAGTTAGATATTGGTTTGCGTTAATGGAAAATGCATGGTTGTCATCGACGTTGCAATAGACACGAAATTCTGGCCCATGATCAGCATATTGTGGCTGACACGGGCTTCGTGATTATAGAAGTCAAAACACAAAACAATAGTAAATAACAATGTTCTTTATACGACGTTACATGTAAGCACGCTTTATTCATGTTTATTTTAATTAGATTTATGTGCTATGAAGTGATGTCCGAATAACGCAGTAAAAAATTCACCATTCATATTCATCAAGCTCCGCATTCTATTAATAACTAGTGAGACAATCTCTGATAGCTATAGATCGTTTTCACTGTCACGCAACAAAAAAATAAATCGAAAACCATCCAGTGGAAAAAGTTATGAAATTATGATGTTATAGAAGATAACTAAATAGGACACTTCTCCAAGTTTTAGGCCTGTGCGTTTCCCCAAACTTCAGATATCGTCGAAATGTTTCGCAGATATTTACAGAGCCCAGTATGAAAACTCCATGTTGATGTACCTCCGTACGTGATACACCAATATGGCGGCCGGAAAATAGTGTAAACATCTGGAACTTACTTTGGCTGTCTAGGTGACTGATTATCAGTACTGATCAAACAAGCATTTACATAAGCACTTTTCATAATGCTCTAACTTCTAAAAAGGCTCAAAATCATGAGATAAGTATATATTTTTCGACAAACTCGATCGTAAGCCTYGTGTCACGCACCTCCATAATCCTGAAATTCAAAATGCTCTGGATTCCAAACGAAGCACGCTATTGAGCTGTAAAATTGTAAACAGATATAAATATACCGCTTCTTATACCTGATGAGGATAAAATCTTTGGTGGCTCTTTAGGTTTGGATTTTAAAAAGTGATGACGTCACGTGAAAACGATCTATTCTTGGGTTTGCACTGTCACGCAATAAAAAAATAATTCGAAAACCATGCAGGGAAAAAAGTCAAGAAATTGTGATGTTATAGGAGATAAATAAAGAAGACACTTCTCCAAGTTTTTAGCCCTATTGCTAGTTTTCAGTGTCACGCAATGCAAAATAAATCAAAATCAAAATCAAAACCGCTCAATAGATGAAGTCCAGAATCTCGCCAAATTTTCTGGTCACAGCAATTTTTCTTATGTGAGATATGCGGAGGAATTTTTTACCCAAATTTATAGAGATTTGTATGGAGTCCCATGCTGGTGCCCATCCGTATGGGCACCAACATGGCAGTTGGAAACCAACAGAAACATCTGTCACTGAGTTTTGCTACAAAAGCGTGAATTTATCCGCCCTTTAGGCGCCCTCAAGGTTAGTGTGCTCGTCCGCGGATCAAGCAGTCCTGATTCGAGCCCTGGCCGGGGACACTGTGTTGTGTTCTTGAGCAAGACACTTAACTCTCAAAGTGCCTCTCTCCACTGGCCTAGGAGTATAAATGGGTACAGGCAAATTGTTGGAGAAACCTAAGAAAGAATAGGAGTGTGGGGGAGTGACCTGCGATGGACTAGCATCCAATCCAGGGGAAGTAGAAATACTCCTAGCCGCTTCATGCTACAGAAACCAGGATAAGCTCCAGCAGCTATGAGCCAGTCAGCTCCAAGGCTTCACTTTTTACAATACAGAACCTAGGTTCCCTTTGGTTTTGTTAAATTTTAGGACACTGAATCGAAGCTTGCCTGAAGGATATCACACTTCCCTTTCCTCTTTCAGGATGCCGACAGAGTTCCAGTTTTCAACTACTGTATTGTGGAAGGGAATCACCAGAATGGCAATGTTGTAAATATCTTGAAACGTGGTGACTGGATAACCTTGATCAATGGTACAAGCACAACTGACAAAGATGAAGCCTTTTTTGAAAAGGTGAAAACTGCATGCTGTGATCGGGAGGATGGTCTGAGTCTAGTCATAAAAACACCAGCAGAACAACAAGAATTTCACCTTTGGGATCCAAAGCCAGTGAAAATTGACATTAAAACCAGACGCAAGATTTTGCCTTGTACTCTTGAAATATTTTACCCTGTAAGTAAAGCATTTAACTTAGTAAAAATCACTTGTCACAGGGCCCATCCTCAAAACAATTTAACCGCTTCACTGTGTTATGGAAGTTGGTGTTCAAGCAGTAGTTAATAAGCCTGGACTGTTTTTTTTTTAAGCATCACAGTTACCCATAATGTTGAGGAGCAACTTTTAGTACAACATCTCTAACAGGTTCAAAAACTAATAATGAAATCACATGCATTTTATTCTGTTCATTGATTAATGCATTTTACTGTATGGTTTTTGCTAAAAGTATACATTCTTCTTTTACTAAACATTCTTGTATTCCTGGGCTAGCTGTGCCAAAATTGGGAATCAAATATACTATACTGTGGCCATACCCTATTTAAACTGTCAAATACCTTTTTCAGGGATGGAGAGCAAAACCTAACTTAACGAAAAGGCCAACATCTTTTTTGTCACAAAGTTGTACCAAATTAAAATACAACTACACCAACCAGGTGGTAAAGAACACCAGAACTTAATGTTTAAAAAGGACAGCATGATAAAAATTATTTGCAAGGGTAGGTTCAATATAAGTTCACTAACAATCAGTTTACTTATAAGCTAAAACTTACATTTAAATATATCACCTGAAGGGTTATACATGTGGGCTTTAAAATCAATATACATTATTGAAGTAGTTTAAATTAAGTTTCAACTCCAAGTTGATGATAAACTGTCTAGTTATAGGTCTGATAATACAATCTTTCAGGACTTAAGTGACACCAGCAAAACATTTACACTGGTTCACAAGATTCAACAACAAAAGCTAGACCTGAAGGGTCTTAAACGAGGAGACAAGATCATTGCCATCAATGACATTCAACTTCAGAACAAGACGTACAAAGAGCTGGACCAAATTACTAGCCAGCTTAAGAAACAACAGCAGCTTAAACTAACAGTTGAGCGAAGACAATGGAGGCAGAATGGTAAGGTGTATGTTAATTCCTATATAAATGTATGGAGAGATTAATTACAACTGAAATTACATTTCGAAAAAAAATCACATCTCAGACAAGAAAGACACCATAAACTTCAAGTATGCAATTCTGATCAATTGAGAGCTGACTTAGCATTTACTCACGTCTGATTTTTTCAACAAAAAAAAGGAAAAGAAAGTTGAAAGAAAAATAAAAAGAAAGAATTTTTTAGTGTACTAAGTTAACGTTTTAGAAAAGTCAGCCACAAAACTCCAAGAGAATTACCTGCAAGAGTAGTGGTCACACTGGATCATTCAGGTCAGTACATATACCCGCACTGGAGCAATCTGATTGGCAGATTATTAGTTATTGACCCTCTGAACTAAGTCATGCAATAAAGAGTGTTATTACAAATTGAAATAACTAGGTACAGTAAAGTCTGCATTCGAGCCTAGGGGCCCCTCAGGCTGGCAATTAATTATCTCTGGCTTCCGTAGAATTACAGGACTAAGAGTGTTCTACCCCCCACCCCCACCCCCACCCCCACCCTTTCACTTCCAGTCTCTTTGTCAAAACAAATATCCCCATTTGTAACCTCTAATGTCAGACAAAGGGTCCTATTTGGAACAGACAGTTCCCATATTGTTTCAACTCCCATCATTACATTGGGTGGGGTAGATGGTTCTTGGTTTAAGACAAAAACTGGGAATTTCAGTTTTTATTAAGACAGAACCAACAGCAAAACTGTTGTCATAGCAACAGCACTAAGGGTGTCATTTTGTTTCTTTTGTGATGCACATTTGTGGTGCCAAGTTTCAAGAGCACTGCTTTAATATTTCCAGAGATATCGTTTATTCAGTATTTTACCTTTTTTTAGTTGCAAACAATGACATCATCACTGATCTAATTTGCATGATAGAAAAATTCATGATAGATCATTCATGTCATATGCACTTTAAAGCATCTGAATGGTGTGCAGAAGGTCGTGGTTTGGACTTGTCGCAGATACAGATTTTTTTCTTTGTCCCATAAGTATATTCACGCAAACTGAATACGGCACATTCAAGCTTAAAATTAACCTTCTGTCTGTATTTATCCCTATACTTAACACTTTTGACTTTACTGAACATTGCATGGCATGCCAAAGTATGCAGGACCAGTGTGTAGACAGCCGTGGGCTCTACTCCCATCATGGACTCGTTTCTTTTCAATGCATGTGACAAACTGAATGCTGTTAATTACTTACTAAAGAAAAGTCTGTTGTCCATTTGTAAGGGTATCTCACCAAATCTGCAATAGACAGACCAACACATTTAATCTGGAGACCACTTCAAGCTGAGTTGAAGAAAAAAAAGCTGACAAAGAAGCTTGGCTTCAAGATAGAGAGTGTTGAGGTACCTAGCTATGAAAATGTTATGGTTCCAAATGCTTTCTGGAACTCTTTGGTACATTATGGATTTGAACCAAGTCCCTCAAACTTACTAATAATAAATTACTTAATTCGTTAGTTTTTCTAGGAATTAATCTTGAAGGACTCCCTTGATAGCGGACAGGTCTACTTACGGCTGCCTTGACAAATTAAACCCCATTGTAAGTCCCAGTATAAGTTTCATACATTCCAGTATGCTCCACTCCTTTGAGCAGCCACAGACACTTTCAAACAGTATAATTTAGATTTTTCTTTTGTTACTTAGCTCCCATTAGCACCAACACAACAAGAAGCATCCCATTTATAGCCCCAACCTTAGTTTAACCAATGAACTTCATCCTGCTGTTTGTCACAATGATGTGTCTGACTGGCCTGTAGACAGCCACAGGCTCATCTCCCATCGTGGACTTTTTTCTTTGCAATTGTCCACACCCTGCTTAGGACCAAATGAATACTGTAATGATTAACTAATTAAATTGATTAAAGCAAAGTCTGTTGACATAGGTTTGAACCCTGGCAGGGGTCATAATAGACATTAATAGTGCCATATTTGTTTGCTTAGTCGTGAACTGAGATCATGGGTGTTGCTTAAATTGTATTCACAATGTTTAGTGTGAGTGGTTTACGTTTGTGTAAGTAGCCACTTAATCCTCATAAATGATTAGTAGTAGCTGCTTGGAAGGATCATTCCCATAAGCAACCAGCTCCTGCAACAGACTTTTTTCTGATTCTGAAGGGTTGCCACTAACAGAAACTTATATGGTACTGGCACAACCGTGCAACAGTCTACACTGTCACTGTCCATGTCACATGGCAACATATAATTGACAGATTTGTATAAACCAAATGCAGATATATTAAAATGCCAGGTACAACCCTCCCACCATCCATCATCTGTATCTATCAGATGGTAGAGAGGACCTCAGTGAACAATTTTATTATCTATTATATATAGACCACCACACCCTACTGAGCCTATGTAATTCTATTTTTTATATATCTTTACTCAGAATCCACTTGAACAGCCCTGCATAATTATCACACATATTTCTGCTGGAGAAAAGCCTGCCGCAATGTCTCCATATCTCAACCCTGGATGCAAGATAATAGCAATTAATGGACAGGGATTGAATGGCCTCTCCTTCGAGAAAGTGAAAGCCATGCTCCAGAGAGCTCCAGCATCAGTGATGTTAACAATACAAGAGCCCACATGTTTGCTACATGAAAAAAGATTTCTCCCTTCTGGTGGAAGGTACACATGGCCTGTTGAGGTAGAAAGAGCACCACTTTGCAAGTCCATAAGTGAAGGACAGTTTCCTCTTGCAAATGAGCACTACATTTGCTCAATGTGTAGTCATAAAGCAGCAGGCCAGAATATCACTGCTGATGCCCAATCTACTCCTTTGTCAGTGCTTCCACAATCAGGAGCAGAGTCTGGCAGCATCCAAAATGGTCAAGAGTTAAAAGATATTTCACCTGTTGCAACCACACCAGCATCTTCCCAACCAAGGGGATCTGATGAAACAAAAAGTGCTGTAAGGGATGGTCTCAGCTCAAGCACTAGATAAGGTGGCACACAGGAAATGGGAAGCATCGAACATGGTCAAGGGTTAAAAGATTCTACAGCTGTCCAAACCACATCTCTGTGTGCGTCTCCTGGACCAAACGGTTATGCTGTTCAACCAACAGGATACAATGAAACAAGAAGTGCCTCATGGAATGGCCCTAGCTCAAGCACTAGATATGGTGGCACACAGGAAATGGGTAACATCCAAAATGGGCAAGAGTTAGAAGATACTTCAGCTGCCCAAACCAATTCCCTTTTTACATCTCCTGAACTAGCAGGATGCAATGACCAACCAACAGGATACAATGAAACAAGAAGTG